CAGAAAACCGGGTCTTAAAGGGCCCTCCGCCCAAATCCTTTTAGCCTTTTTGCCTACTCGAGGTCCTCTATCGAATGATGTATGAACGAACGAAATCGGAGCCGAACACCTGGGGCGGTTCCCTCGTAAGTAACAGCACAAAAACTTCAGTGCTAAAAGTTTTGCTCTCTCTCTCGTTGTTAATGACGTAAATGAAATAAAAAAGTTGGTGTTCAGAAAATGGTTATTCTGAAGTAGAAAAGTGAAAGTAAATTAACTAGCATTCATTCGTCGATTTATCCAATTATCCATTCCATTTATCCAATGTTTACTATTATAAATATGTAAGTTTCTTTGAAACGACTAATTAGAGATTATTTTTTTTATTAATCTTAAGTACAGAATCAAGTTGAGCAGATAAAATAGGATATATCTTGGTGTTCTGAAGTAGTTTAGATCATTTTTGACTCAATTATGAATTTTATCATTTCCAGTGGAAACAGCCTAAAATGGTTTATTCTACATAATTAGGTTTTTTGAATTTTGTTTTGAAAACAAACATCAACCACCGAGGACTCTTGCATGATCGATAATTTATGTTCTATTAATTTTTTGAAGTTACCAGGGGTTAGAAGAGAACAGCCCTGGATCTCTCAAGAATTCGATGAAACTAGGATATTTTTTAGTACACTTTGAACTATCGATCCATGTAAAACAAAAAAACAATAAAAACTTGTTGCTATTTCTAACTTTGAAAATTTAAACGGATTTTTTTCAAGTCTCTTTGAGAAATCTATCTAGCAAAAAAAGATCTTTTAATCTATTTAAGTATTTTTCGTCAAAAACTTGTTTCTCTCTTTTATCTCGCATATTTGACATTTTTAATAAATTTCAAACGTGTAAATGTTCACATTATTTCTTATTACGGACTGGAAAAAAAATTCTCCTTTATTGATCAGCAACTATGCATTTTTTATTTTTATTATGAACTCTATTTAACATGCTTTTTGGGAAAGAAAAAAGCATTTCTCTCTCTTGTCTTAAATATTGTCATTTTCTATTCACTCCAAAAGAACAATAAATACGAATTAGAACGTATATTGTCAGGAATATATACCTGCTAGTAAATAAAACTGGAATTTATTCGATACATTCGATATGTACTGTTACAACAGAATTGTAGATAATAATGGTTGTATGACATTGATACTCAAAAAAATATCTCAAAGTCTTTCTGCTTAATAATAGTACTTTAGTCACTGACCAATAATCATGTGTGTAGGGTTAGTCCATTAGATAATAAGAGCTCAAAATCAGAAAATAGCAGCCGATATATCTAGTTTTTACGTCTGTCTCACTCTACAGTAATCTGGTAAAGGCGAAATATTCCCAAAACAAAAAGAATGTGTTCTTCAAAGCATAAGACTGTAAAATACATTCTCTATATAAGTTTCTTATGCATTCCCTAGTGAATGTACTTGAGATCAAGTACTTTACTACTTGCAAATTTTCTAAAGTACTTGGTTAAGCACTTGTCAAGCATTTTTAGATTTAATACGAGCCAAGTAATTGGAAGAACTTCGAATACTGGCATATATTTCGCAAGTAATTACCAAGTTACTGCCAAAATACTTATCCAGTACTTATACTTATTAAATCACTTGATAAGTACCTTGTTTACTTGCAAACAACTCTAGATACTCTGGACATTACTTACCCAAGTACATTCACTAGGGCTCTTACCATTTTGGTTCATTGTTAGCGTTCATTCATTAGCTCCTATCAGAATAACAAACGACGAAGTTGTGAAGATAACTGGTTTTCTCACCTGTTTTATTCAATCTGACTAAGCACCAGATAAAAAAAATAATGATCTAAAATATACAAGATGAAGAAATCTTTAAAAGCAACATGATTCGAAGCTGCTCATTTTAAAAATTTTGATACAGTAGTACAACTACTTAACCGTAGATTCAATTTAGATTATAACGTATCAGTGCCAGTTTTCATACAAGTACTCAAATTACTCATTAATTACCTTTTTCTGGATCCATTGTGACACAAAAGTGCAGGAGCAGCGTGTAAAAAAGGACAAATTTTCATTTTCAGAATTCATTTTCTTTTTTATAAAAACAGATCCAAATAAAAACACAGAAACTATACACAAAAAAAAATTTACTGTTGTCTATTTTCTTCCTCGGTCAAAGTCGATTCTTCTTTTTTCTTATTAGGTAAATCTGGTAGACTAGCGGGATTTAATTTTTTTGCTCGTTGTAGTAAAAAGTCAAATGTCCAATAATGCAAATGTAACTGTGCTGGAATCGATAGAGCTTGTATTCGCTGTAATTCGCCGTATGTTTTTGAAGTGATATCGTGAATCGCAGCGAATTCGTATCGACCAATTTGACCTATAATGAAAAAAAAATGCAAAGATTTATAGCTAAAGAGACAATTGTAAAGCAAAATCAATTGCATTTTAGATTATCTACAACTGTCTTCGTTTTCTTGGCAAATGTATGTTTACCTGTATTTGATATCAATGGTCCTTGCGTAATGTCAACATGACCTTGATGTGTCTCACTGCCCATTCGATAAACGGTTAAACGTGGTTGTTCTTCGGCTACTCGCTGTTTTAACATGTATGGAATTTGTTGCAGTTTGTAACGATCATATTTAAACATTTCTTCTGCACATTCACGATTTATTTGTAACGGTTCAAATTTTAAATTTAAATCACGTAATTTATAAGCTTGAATAGACAATGAACGTAGATCTTCAAAAGATGGTTTCCAGTTACCTAAAATAGACGAAAACGATAAGAAAAATGATCGACAAATATGCATTTCATCTGAACAATGATTTAATTCACCATTATAACGGATTATCTAGAATAAATGGCGATCTCAGTATTTTTCGTTTATCTCTTTCAATTTTTATTGTCGAGACTTGTGCTTCTTCTTAAAAGATTCGCCGTTTCATTCTCTACAAAGAACACATTGAACATTGTTTGATATACCGTATAGATAAAAGAAACTAGGTGAAAAACTAGGTGCGAAGCTTCGATTTTCATTACTTTCAAACCCAGAAAACAGTTTTTCAATTCTAGTTCTTTGTATTTTGCAATACAGAATAAGAGAAGATGCCTGATGAGGTGAGACACATCAAGGTCTCACTGAGATGAAGAAAATTCTTCACAATCACAATTGATTAAGCGAGAAGTTTTTGTTTATGTCAATTTTATCAAAAAATCACAGTTTTCGAACTTCAGTTCTGGTGGTACTTATAAAAAATTTTAAAAATCGGCCAAAATCAAATATTTTGAGGTCTGGTTTGTCTTATCTTAAAGCAAAATAATTCTTCTATTACATCCGAATAGAGGAAGTTCGATACCTCTATTTTTTTTGCAATAACAAGGAGAAGAGACTGTAGTAAAACTGTCTTCTGTATCAATAAAACACGTTCAAAGCCAACCTCTGATACATGAAAAGAAAGACGACACTTCGAAGCACCAGAACATACATTTTGATTCTATTTTGATGCATAGCAACATTTATTCTAGGTCACCTGTTAGTTTAATTTTTTGTACAATGGATACTGTAAATGATTATTTTAGTATTAAAACACTCACCTAGATTTAGTTTTGCATCATAAACAACTGATCCGTGTTCAAACTGTGGCGGTGGAAATGAACATAATTCAATAAAATAATTTGATTTAAACGCTGTCTCTAGTAAATATCCGATAATAAATGAACATGTTCTCCAATAGGCTTTATTTTGTTCATAGGGATTTTCTTCTAGAAAATGTAAAAACTTCATTTGACAATCATGTTCTAATGGTCGATTCATATCCCAAATTTTATTTCCATCTAATAGTGCTAAACAAGAACGTTCAACTAGAACTGATGAGATATGTTGAGCACAATTGTACGGTGTTGATAAAGATTTATTCATTAGTAATTTAATATTTTGTATTGAATCTTGCACATCAATTTCAATTTTTTCAATACGACGAATTTGTTTCAATTGTGATTGACGTTCGAGTTCATAGATTTGTAAACGATGTAGACGAACTTGATCATTTGTTAAATTAGAACGAGAATGTGGCTGTTCTACGACTTCTTCGATGTCAATGAACGACGAAGATTGTTGATCATCATTTATATGAGAACTGCGAGTTGTTAATGTTGACTGATATCGACAGTGTGTAAATGAAAAAAAATGACGTAAAAACAATAATTGTTTCATCTAAAATAACCTAACTTTTCTATGAAGTTCGTTTTAGCATTTTTAAAATCGTTTCTATCGTGAAATGTGCTAATTACTAAGCTACTTTTAAAATGAAAACATACACAGCATCTATCTTATTTAACTGGTCATAAAAAGATATCATTGCTAATTCTCTTATTATTCTTTTCTTACATGTACTACATCTACTTACATCTGAATAAGACATAACATTTGTTTTTAATGCGGCTAGTAGCATTAATCAGATAGACATATCTTTATGGAAAATGCTTTGTGCAACCTGATACAATAGAGAAAAAAATATTCTTATCATTCTCAATGAATCATTAACACTAAAAAAGGTTACAATCATTTTGTTACTTCTAGATACTGGATAAATAGCTCATATTAGATAAAGTTTGTAAGAAAAAAATAAATAAAATTTTTGGAAAAGGTAAACAAAAAAATCTATTCCCATTAGTTATCATAACTTGAACAAATCGAATGTAATGAACATTTATCACAGAGAGCCCAAACTGAATGACATTAATCTCATCTGAAGGGAAAAAAGACAACAACAGGCAACTATTTGACAATGGAAAGACACCAAAATATAAATAAGTGGAAAAGAAAAAGGTATGACATAAAAAAAAAAAGTTTTGTTTGAAAAGTATAGTAAAAGTTGAAAGTTAAAAAGTTGAAATCTACGCTTCATTACACATCATTCTAAATTTTCATTCATCTTTTACTTTCTTGATGTTTCTCTTTCGATTAATTCATTTTTTTCTGGTTGTAAAAATTCTTTTATACACGTTTCTAATAGTTCTTGTAATTCTTGTCGAGTTTGTTGACGAAATTCTTCATGTAATTCTTTTTTATCCATATTCGACGATTTCTTACGTATTTCTGAATACCATTTAATTTTTGGTTCAGTACCTAGAAGAAAAAAAAGTATTCAGTACTTTGATGTATATAGAACAGTTCATTACCTGACGCTCTAATTGTTATTTCACATCCGTTATCAAAATAAAATGTTAACATTTGTGTGGCTGATGAACATGGTAATTCTGGCTTTTTATCTTTTTCATTTCTAAAATCCGCTTCAATTCCAACAGTTAAATCACGAATACCGGTTACATTATATTTTCCACACGTTTTTGGATACACATAGGTTTCATCACTACTTTTAGCAGATTTCTGTTCATTTTCTTCTGAAGTAATATGAGATTTAATTTTATTCGAATATTGAACAATTACATTTGCTTCTTTGGGTTCAGGTTGATGGGCAGCTGTTTCACCTTGTTTTGATTTCTGAAACAAAAATAGAGTAGTTTGAATCGTAATTTATACACAAAACAGAAAGATGAGAATTTAATCGATCGAAGTTCATCTTTCTGTTGATCCTAGACATAAATAAATAAAAAATATCAATAAATACGCTAAATAAACTCTAAATATACGTACTGTTGATTGTTGTGTATTTTTTTTCTCATCTCCACGATCAAAATGACGTAATCGATCAAATATTTTTAACATAATATCTGTTTGATAGCAAAATACATAAGAATTGTCATTTATATGGTAACCGTATATTGTTGATAGGTGATCAAGTTGTTCGTATAGAGTACGATTGATCGATTTCAAATAAGTGCACAATTCAGCGCCAATGACGCATGCAGATATACCATCTTTATCCAACACGTTATACGGATCACACATATAACCGCTAAAATTAAAGAGAAAAAGACCTAATGAATTTTATTATTTCAATACTTTCTACAGTTTAAATTAATAATTTTACTTACATTGCTTCTTCGAAACCGAATAACACATGTTTCTTGTCTTTGATTAACTGATCTGATTTGTTTCCAAGCCATTTGAACCCGGTTAACGTTTCAACAGTATGAAACCCTTCAACTTCTCCAATTGATTTTAAAATATGAGAGGAAACTGTTGAATATAACATATACACATCATCAACATTAACATCAGGATTAGCATTACGCCACGTAAACCAACGCCACCACCCTGAAAAACGGACAAACGAAAACGTGTATTTGATCAATACTAAAGCTATTTAAGAAGCATTTTTAACATTATAGATTATGGTAAAAATCACGTAGAAAAAATATTTCAAATAAAAATTCTGTGAGAATAAGAGACAAAAAATTGTTTTACTGACCTAAGAGTGCTCCCAGCTGGTTTCCTGTTAATATTCTCCATCCAGTCTGCACTGTTCCCATTGGATCTCGTTCAGCTAGAGCAAATCTATCAGCATCTGGATCATTAGCCAAAATAAAATCACATTGATTTTCGTTTGCTGTTTGTTGTGCTAGTTCCAACGTCGATTGACCTTCTTCAGGATTTGGATATTTAACAGTTCTGAATTCAGCATCTGGCTCTTTTTGTTCTTTCACCGATATAAATGGTTTAAATTCAAATACTTTGAAAGCTTCTTCAGCATAAGGTTGACCGACTCCATGAATGGGAGTATAAACAAATTTTGGTGCTTTTGGAGACGAATTTAACTGAGGAAAATAGCAGTGACGACGTAATTCTTTGAAATAAACATCAAAAACCTACAACATGAAATAGTAAAGTAAAAAGAAAAGCATATCTCACGAAAAAACTGTACTTGATAAGTTCAAGACAAAAAACGACTTCAGCATACCTGTTTCATTGGGTCACAGACTTTATTTGAAGTTTTTAGAATGTCTAAATTCCATGCTTTTTGTTTCCACGGTTCTAGATTTTGCTCAATATGATCTGATATATTTGAATCACGTGGACTAACAATTTGTGCACCATTTTCCCAGTACACTTTGTAACCATTATCATCTTTTGGATTATGGGACGCCGTTACCATAATGCCTGCTTTACAATTCAAATATTTAACAGAAAATGGGATGAATGGCGTTGGAACTGTGGTATTAAACAAATAACATTTAACATCTTCACTAAAAGACAAGAATGAGAAAGTGACAATGCCTTCTTATTACTTTAGTGCAAATTTCTTCAGCTGTATAGTTTGAGGCATCATACCATACGAATAATGCTGCTACAAGCTGCGCAAATCGATGTGAATTATGTCTTGCATCAAATCCAATCACAACACCTGCAGAAGATAAATCGCCTTTAAATTCTTGTTGTAAGTAACGTAAAAACCCTTGCGTTGCTTGAATAACTGTTAGATCATTCATCAGCCCGAATCCAGCACCCATTCTTGCTCTTAAACCAGCTGTACCAAATTGAATACGATGACACAAACGAGCACCTAAATCATCCCATTTATTTTGGTCCTAGGTGAAAAATAAAAGAACATTATAAGTGACCTAGTCATTATTACGTTCTGTAGCCCATCAAATTTTCAAGAAAAACAGAAGTACTTAATGAGATATGATCCGAAATTGGAGTATTTTAACTAACAAATTAGTTACACATTACCTTTAGATCTTGAATTTCTTTTTTTGTTGTTTCACATTGATCCCATTTTAGCCATAATTCCGTCTTTTCCTTAATATCGGAGCAAACTTCCTTATTGGTTTTTGTCTCACTAGCCATTATTGAAAATAATAGAAATAGATCTAAAACATAAGCAGCAACAACAACATATTAGAAAACAATCCATTTATTTTCACATCATTTGTTTCATACGCTTGACTATGACCTATAGAAAAAAAATGTTTTGTAAAAGAAAGAAACTGCTAAGTCAACATAAACAGGTGCATCTTACAAGGAGAACGCGTTAAAAAATCTAGGTTGAATGTGCTTATAATCATAACGTAAAGATAATCTTTAATCAAAGTTTATCAAAAAATAAAAATAGCTTTATTTTCTGACCACATAGTAACAGAGACCACCGTCCATTACAATCGATAGGCGCGAGTCACTTTATAATATTTAATTTATATAATGTACGTCTTTGTGTGAATCCTAGGTTTAAGTGTACAAATCAGATAACACATCTGTTATCTACTGATATGATCCTATTATTATATTTTCTTATGAAGACAAACATAAGAGAAGGAATGATGAATTCCACATCATAATGATTGGTACAATTATTGAGCCCATCAACAGAGAAGAAGAAGATGCCGCGACTTTCTGCAAAAAATACATAAACTGAACTTGAAAATGTTTCAAAAAAAACTAATAAAGAATATGTGTCAATCTTCATATCATCAAAATATTCTAAATTGTTGCATAGCCCCAGTTCTTCCATTCTTCCTTTATACATAACTGCAAAAACAAAACGATGAATGAGTTCTGATAAAAAACCGCCGATTAACTGCAATTAACTGAAAACTGATGATTATTTTACGAACCGCAGCTAATCGTTGATTTTTATAAAAAAATGGCGACATGGATAACCATCAAGCATCTATTGGCATTAAGTTTAAAATAGTGGAGGTTTTCAGAGAACTTTCAAGATGCTCCCGATTTCTAACTTGCCCGGCACGTGAAACATGTGAAAGGATGGATGAAAGTTGTATGCGGTAGATGGGGATCTCCGAACAAAGGATAGTAAGGCACCTGCAGATCTCCTACACGTTTCCAAAAATTTCGTACTACTGGGGCCAGTAAAATATTGGAATATCTGGATTCGACTGAAAATAACATCTAGATGTGTACGTGATGTTAAAAGTATTTTCTAGTGTGTTGAATCAAGACTAGTAATTCTCTGTAGTACCGACAAAAGAGATGTGCGAACCTTCCTTTTTACTTATGAACAAAATAGATAACAGATTGATGCGATCGTCGATCGATTTGGCAGACTAATACACTGTATTTTGGAATTAATTTTTAGTTTATAGAAAATCGATCTAGAAAATCGTGAAGCTTTTTCTGATATTTATAAAATGCTCGTAGATTTTCTGACTTTTTAGAAATTCGCGATTTTCTATTTTCTATAAATTGACTTTTCATTTTATTCAGAAAATCGCCATAGAGTTTCCAAAAATATCAAAATTCGGCGTCGATTTTATAAATACTGGAAATTCGAGTTTCATTTTTTTGATATTCTACAAAATCGATCGATTTTCCCAAGGTTCTTGAAATTCGAAATCGATTTTCCAATCGGTATTGATTTTCAAGATAGTTGGAAATTCGAAGATGATACGATATACGTGCCCATATACTAAAAATCGCATAAAAATCGGCAATTAATCGTGAAACATCATACGATTAATCATGCGCTTAATCGCGATTAAGTGCCGATTTTTTGGTGATTTTTAGGCGATTTTAGCGATTAATCGCAATTAATTGACGATT